AGACAGGTAAACTTAAAATGACCTTATGACTGTCAGTTATACTGCATCCTTTGACATGTATCCCTAAAAACTGAAGGAACAGAGATAGTTCCATTGCACCATCATGCATAGTAGCCAAAAGGTACAAACTATAAGCAGATGAAGTCTTCATCATCAAATAAATGGTTAAGCAAATGTGACACATGGATATTTAAGCACAATAAAATACTATTTATCTGTGGAAAGGAATAAAGTTGTACTCATTTTTTAATTAACCTAGAAGACAGCCTACTAAGTGAAGCAAGCTAAACACCAGAGTTCAGGGATTTTGTTCATGAAGTAACTAGGTAGAAGTACATTAAATGTCACAAGGGGCTACAAGGGAGAGCATATATATGAATAACTGTTACACAGCAGTTGTAGAATTTCTGATTGGGGTGATGAAATAGTGGCATACTACTTGGAAGTATTATGGACATAAATACCACTTAAAATGGTAAACTTGTTAACATTTTACCACTATTTATGTATGTGTGTGTATGTTCCTGTGTGTGTTCCTGTGTGTGGACATGTATGTCTAGGCCACAGGTCAACTCCAGATATCATCCAACCTCTTGTTTTGAGACAGGGTCTTTCACTCTTTACCTGGACCCAGCCAGTTTGTCTAGCTTGACCGGCCAGTGAGCCCCAGAGATTTTCCTGTCTCTGTCTATCACTGTATTACAAGTGTGTGCCACAAGGCCTGGGTTTTTACATGGTTTCTGGGATTGAACTAAGGTCTTCATGCAAACTATCTCCTCAACCTGTATTACAGTTTTTAAAAAGTCACACCCTCCTCCCCAAACTTAGATGTTATTGCAGTCCCAGGATGTAATTTCTCAGTTTACTTAAACAAAACCTGAGAAAATAGATGGGCACAGGGTGGGGGGCGGGTAGGGGGGACTTTGTGAGATAATTGTTAATCATGTTGAATTGCAGCTCTTTGTGTATGTGTGTCGGTCTGTGTTATGTGTGTTTTAAGACAGGATCTTCCTGTCTCTGATGTCATGTAGCCCATGAGTAGACAGGCTGCCTTCAAACTGTGGCAGTCCTGGCTCTGCCTCCTGAGTGCTGGGATTATGGGTATGCACCCTTATGCTTGGCTTGTTTTGTAGCTCTTGGTGAGATTTCACAATATTTGAACTATTGTGGGAAAAACCAAACAGCTTTCAAAAAGAACGTTTGTGTGATTAAAAGAATTCAGTTTCCTGGTGGTGGAATTTAGAACTCCAGACATTAGACTACAACTAGGCATTAGTGACTATTACCAAAATATATCATGGAGGTGGAGAATGTAACTGTTATGTTTTTCTCTTTTAATTAAATGTGTTACTTTGGTTAGCAAAAGTGCACAATTTTATGTCATTAATACATAAAAATGAATTTAGTAGTTTTCAAATGTGCCAATTGTAACATCTATTTTTTGTGTGTGTGTGTATTTTTAGTATGAGTAATTTGAAGTCAATTTCATATGTATAATTTACCAGGAAATCTGTCAATATAGAAATGCTTGTATTTCTTTAAAAATTGCTTTGTTAAGGTGGGTGTTGGTGGCTTACGCCTTTAATCTCAGCACTTGGAAGGCAGAGGAAGGCAGATCTCTGTAAGTTCCAGGCCAGCCTGGTATACAGAGTGAGTGCCAGGATAGACTCCAAAGCTACACAGAGAAACCCTATCTGGGGGGGGGGGGAGAAAAGAAAAAAAATGCTTTGTTAAATCGTCTGTATTTGAAGTTGTATTTATATATTTTATATTATAGGCTGCTGGTCTTGGTCGTATGAAACCAAACACGCTTGTCCTTGGATTTAAGAAAGACTGGTTACAAGCAGATATGAGGGATGTGGATATGTATATAAACTTATTTCAGTAAGTATGTTCTAAATTGTTAAGTACTTGGCAGAAAACTGCTAATTTTGAAAGCATTCTCGTTTACCTTGTTTTTTTTTTTTTTTAATGTAGTCTGTCCTTAATAGGTGTATGAAAATGAAAAAGAACCCCATGAACTGGCTGGGTTTTAAAATGATGATCTATTATGAAAATACAGATCTCTCTCTTTTTACACAAAACATATGTACAAGTACATACACACACACACACACACACACACACACACAAATACATCTACAAAATACCTTATGTATGTGTAAAATAGTTTGTTGAATTTTCCTTTTTATTGTATTTTTATTAGTTTTTTTTAATAATTTCAGTGTATCTGGGACATATTCACTCTCTACTGTCCTTTTCCACTCAACGTTGAGATTACTTCTCTTTTTTTTCCTTTCCCCATTGTGTTCAGTGTTTGTTGTCCGGCTAGTGTGTGGTCAGCCTACTAGGGATTGCATTAAAAAGTACTGACTTGCTCTCCCAGCTGCTACCAAATGCCAATAGCTCCTCAGCTAATGGTAGGATTACAAGTCCACCATCCTCTTCTGTCTTGGAATTTCTTCTGGCTGGAGCTTGTGCGTGTTGTTATCTCACTGTGAGTTCATATGTGCATCTTTCTTGTTTTACCTAGAAAAACTTTCCTTGACGTTATTCAGCACCTTTAACTCTTACAATCTTTCACTCTCTCTTTAGTGAAGATTGCTGAGCCTTGGGGTAAGGAGTATGTAGGAATGACTAACTTAGGACTAAGCATTCCAGTTTTTCTCTGCACACTCACCAGTTTTGCTAATTGCCATCTATTGACAGGAGAGGCTTCTGATGTGGGTTTTAGATGCTCTAATCTATAAGTGCAGCAATAAGTCATAGAAGGTAGTTTTAATACTCAGTTCTCTATTTAGCAGACTAGCATTTGGTTCTCCCCTGGAGACTATGATCTATCAAGCAACAGGTTCGAGTTCTGTCTCATAGATAAGACCTTAAATCCAGTTAGAAAGTGGTTGGTTACTCCCATAACATTTGTGCCACTCTTGCACCAGTGGGGATTATCTTGTCAGGCCAGTCGCTATGGTAGCTTGTAAGGTTTCATAGCTGGGTGAGACTGAGGCTGACTTTTCTCCTTTAGCACGGGGCATAGAACCTTCTAGCACCATGAAACTGGCCAGAAAGGGCGAAGCTTACAGGTGAACACCAGCTTGATGACTCTGTGATTCAAGTATGTGGTATCTTCGGTTTTCAGCATCAAGTTATGAAGGTTAGGTTGTAATACTTGGAGGTCTATATGACCCCATTGGCCAGCAACTCAAAAGATAGTAACCTATTCTTGGTACTGGGGTAATTTGGGGTATCCAGTTGGGATATATCTCCCCCCCATTATATCTCTTTATATATGTCTGTATATTTTATGAAACTTCTACAGTAATAGGTTTCCAAATGTTTTGTTAAAAGAACTTTAATAATAGTTATCCCTCCCTCCCGGTATTTCCTCCTCTATCCTGCCTCCCATCTTCTACCCTGTTTAACCTATCTTATTTCATCGTTCCCCTTTAATACTTTATACTACTCTGCTCTGTCTCCACATTCTTGAAGGCCACTTCTTCCCAGTGCCCCCTTAATATTATTAATTCCTGACCTCTGTTGGTATTATTAATGGAACACATGTATCTGAATATTCAAAAGTAACATCAAGAAATGAAAGAAAACATACAATATTTATCTTTCTGGACTGGGTTACTTTATTCAGTATGCATATTTCCAACTCCATCAAATTACCTGTGAATTTCATAATTTCATTTTTCTTCACAGCTGAATAATCTTTCGTAGATGTGTTATATGTGATCAGGAGTGGGTGTGTATAGACCCTGCTTCCTGTGTAAGCTGGTAGGTTTCTTCTTGTGCTTTTGCTGTGGCAGAGTCAGATGTCAGAGTATTGCTCTGTAAGGTCTTCATTATGTCCTACACTGAGCAGCTACAGAGATTTGATTTTTGTTCCCATGCTGGTCTCTGGATCATCCCTTGAGTTACTCTTAGTTTGCAGTTACACATACTTGTTTGCATTTTGCACTTGAAATGCTGTTCTGAGCTTAGGTTCTTGTTTCTTCTGTATTGGTTGTTTATCCTGAAGCTTAGCTTTGTTTCACATTGCTTTAACTTCCTTCTTACAGTTTGTCTAGTGGGTGCTTTTTATTCTCTTACTACTTTTGCCTTTCTGGTTCATAGACTTTTTATGTATATATTTAATCCTACCAGTGCTTTGTAGAACTGAATTAATTAATGAAATATTTTTTTGTTTTTGTCAAATATACTTGTTAAAACTTGAAAAGTACTTTCTTTTCCTAGTATTACGGAATTTGCTCAACAAATCTAATTTACACTAACAATTCATACTGTGCCATTATCATCATATAGTATTATCTTGCATATAAACAATTGACTAAGAACAAACATCAGTGAGAAAATCTTGTCTTTAGCAAAGTAGTTCTAGGATGGATTTCACATCCAGTTTTCCTGTGAAATTTGATGGAACTCACTAGAGTTATCTCCTTTCCTGGAATTCCTGTTGCAGCTATAGTTTTTTTTCATAGCTTATTTGGAAAGTCTTTCTGGAAATGATCAGAGGTCGTAGTTGTCCTTTGAGAAGGTCTGAGTTGATTAGGAATGCACGCAGGTGACAAAAAGAACCCTTAATTTCTAAGGTTAAAGTGTGTGGAGCTTGTGCCTTCTGACCATCTGGGGAGCAGACTCTCACTGTAGCTGTATAGTTCTGTGCTTTGTATATATGGTGCCTCAGAAAAGAAAGACAGTAAAAATAAAGCTTAAATCATGAGCTATCAAAGCCTATGAGCTGTGGAGGGAGCACTATGCTGTTTTCCTCTCAAGGCTCAGTGAGATGAAGTAATTGCCCTAGAAAATAGAGAAGTGGCATTTGGAAAATGGTTTTTATATATACACCAGCTACATTAGTAGTAGTTTTAGTTGATCATAATAGCCCTGAAAGAGGTCTGTTGGAACGCTCTGTAAGTTAGCATTGCTTTGTATGTTGTGCATCATTAAGCCACATGCAGAAAGATGGGTAAGAATGCCCTCTAGTTCTCAAAGCCATTAGGAATTGATGGTCTTGTTAATGTTACTACATTTCATTATATGTGCGTGCATGGCATGCCATGGTACAAGTATGGAGGTCTGAGGACAGCTCACAGGGATCAGTTCTCTTCTTTCACTGTGTGATCTCAGGGAATGCAATATGGTTGTTGGGGTTGGCAGTAAGTGCCCATACCTCCTGAGCAAGCTATCCCACAGGATTTTACTGCTATTTTTGTTTTGTTGTGTAGTACTGGAAATTGAACCTAGGGTTTTGATATACCACGGAGCTGATAAGGGTTATATTCTCATTCCTACAAAACTATCCAGGCTGGTTTTGAGCTCACTATGCTCCTGAGGCTGATCATTAATTCTGTGATCTTTCTGTCTTCACTATCCAAATGCTAGAATTGCAAATGGTGCTTTCTACTACACCCAACTCTTGGTTTTGTTGATTCTTTGTATTGTTTTCCTTGCCTCCCTTCCCTCTCCACTTCCTGGCTTTTTTTATGTCAATATAACACAAGCCAAAGTCATCTGAGAGGAAGGAACCTCGAACAAGAAAATGCCTCTATAAGATCAGGCTATACACAAGGGCATTGTTTTTAATGAGTGTTGGGGAGAGCCAATCCATTTTGGATTGTGCCATTCCTGGGCTGATGTTTCTGGGTTCTATAAGAAAGCAGGATGAGCCAGGTGAGGTGGCGTATACCTTTAATCCCAGCACTGGCAGGCAGATCTCTTTGATGACAGTTGACAGTCAGGGCTACTCAGGGCTATTACACAGAGAAACCCTGTCTTAGAAGAAGATGAAGAAGGAGAAGAAAAAAAAGGCAGGCGGAGAAAGCCATTAAGCAGCACCCCTCCAGGGCCTCTGCATCAGCTCCTGCCTCCAGATTCCTGCCATGTTTGAGTGCCTTTCCTGACTTCTTCAATGATGAACTGTCACCTGAAAGTAACAAAATATAAGCCAAAATAAGCCTTCCTAGGTCATGCTGTGTCCATCACAGCAGTAGTAACTCTAAGATGCTCCCTCTTAAAAAAGAAAAAAAGAGAACCCAGAACAGCCAACAA